TGGGCCAATCTGGCACCGGCTATGCCAGCCGAAATCGCCTCAGTTGACCTAGCTAACGTGTGTGAGTTGGGGTGCAAGCATTATGTGGAGAACTTCACAGAGTATCTCCTTCCCGGGGAGATGCAGCGAGCTATGAAGGGGCCCCGTGTTCTAGTGCATGATGACCATTGGCGTGAGGTGTGTGAAGGCTTGACAAAGAATGGGGTGTGCACCATTCTACCCAAGAGCAAGATCTACCACATCGATGGTCAGCCATTGCTTAACGGACTCTTTGGAGTTCGGAAGGACGAGGTTGTGGGCGGAATGCCTGTTCACAGGCTGATCATGGATCTTCGGCCATGCAACAATGTCTGCAGAGGATTGGAAGGCGACGTAGCCACCCTACCCAGTTGGGCAACGATGGGACCACTACAACTCATGCCTACAGAAGATCTAGTGGTCTCATCCGAAGATGTGCGCTGCTTTTTTTATATTCCGGGTGCCAAGTGAGTGGCACCCCTTCCTTGCCTTCAACAAGCCTATCCCGTCAGACATGTGGCCAGGTGACGATGGACCATACTACATTGCATCTCAGGTATTGCCGATGGGGTTCAAGAACTCTGTTAGCCTAGCGCAGCATGTGCACAGGAACATTGTGAGGATGGCATCGACCAGGACCAGTGGGAGCCTCCGAGCAGAACAGGAAGTTCGTAAGGACAGGCCCTTTTCTTCAGCATCAGATCTCCACAGGATCTACCTGGACAACTTCGATCAGCTGGAAAAGGTAGAGAAGAAATCTCATGGACTCCTGGACGGGGAGTGCAGTCCGGGCATCGTTGCTCTCAGAGCTGAATATGAGGTATGGGGTGTTCCACGTCACCCAAAAAAGGCCGTCTCGCGTTCTCTCGTGGCGGAGGTGCAGGGTGCGATCATTGATGGAGGTCAAGGTGTGGCATACCCCAAGCCATCCAAGGTCTACAAATACACTGCATTGTCTCTCCTGTTCTTGAAGGAGGCCGTGAGCAGTCAGAAGCAAGCGCAAGTGATAGCTGGGGGCTTGGTCTATTTAAGTATGTTTAGGCGACCCCTCTTGGGGTCCCTGAACCACATCTGGAGGTTCATTGAGGCCTTTCGTGGATACCCACCAGTGATCAAATTACCGATTCCCGACGGGGTCAAGCTCGAGGTGGCCAGGTTCCTCTGTCTCATCCCGTTGGCGAAGTTGGACTTTCGATTGGGCATCTCTTCAGAGGTCACTGCAAGTGATGCTTCCACCTCAGGCGGGGGCCTGACGGTCACTACAGGTCTCACTGGCTTCGGGGTAGCAGCTTCGGAGACGACCACCAGAGGTGACATCGCAGAACCTCATGACCTGCATGGGGTGCTCACCATCGGACTATTTGATGGAATAGGTGCTCTCCGCGTGGCGGCCGACGCATGTGGGCTGGCAGTGGTAGGTCACATCAGCGTGGAGGTGAACAAGGCTGCCAGTCGGGTGTTGGAAAGCAAGTTTCCAGCCACTTTGTTTTTGGAGGCCGGCGTCGAGGCTGTCACAGAGGAGGAGGTGAAGCAGTGGGCATGTCGGTTCTCGCAAGTCTCCCTTGTGCTTGTGGGCGCGGGTCCCCCGTGTCAGGGAGTGAGTGGACTCAACGTTGATCGCCGGGGAGCGTTACGAGATCATCGTAGCTCCTTATTTATTCATGTCGAACGAATTCGGGAGATGGTGAAGCAGCAGTTCAAGTGGGCACAGGTGCGTTACTTGGCCGAGAGCGTTGCCAGTATGGATGCCCAGGACAGGGAGGTCATGACTAGGTCTTTCGGTGATGTGCCTGTTCTTGTTGATGCTAGCGGGGTCTCGCTTGCTCGGCGGCCGCGTCTGTACTGGTTTGACTGGGAGCTGAGGCCAGCTCAAGGCGTTTCAGTAGGCCCCCTGGAAGCTTCCGGGGACGCTGCATTCAAGAAGGTGGAGTTGGAGGCCGTTGTGGTGACCAATCACTACTTGCAACCAGGATGTACCAAGGTCTCGAATGAGCCCTTCCCTACGTTCACAACATCGAGGCCAAGGAGCTTTGCAGGGAGGAGACCAGCAGGCTTGGACAAGTTGAACGCGGAAGAGAGGCTCATGTGGGAAGAGGATCATTTCCGCTTCCCACCATACCAATACCAGGAGAAGTTCATGATCATAGATGCCAAGAAGCAGCCACGTCTGCCTGACATACAAGAACGGGAGGTGATCATGGGGTTTCCCAAGGACTACACGGTCCAGTGCATGGCTAAGCAGTGGCAGGGCTCCCCCCAGCACTTGGATGAGAGGAAAACCTTGATCGGTAACTCATGGAACGTTACCGTGGTTACTTGGCTCATATCGCAGCTGGGCGGACAACTGGGACTATGTCCTTTCCTATCACCTCAGCAGGCAGTCGATGCGACAGCTCCTGGGATGTCAAGTGGACTGGCAGGACTCCTTTACAGACCTCCTATGCAGCCGGGGAGGAAGCAGGGCCAATCCACCGGGGAGCTGACTCTTGTCAAGAAGCTCCTGAATTTGGTCAGCCTCAAGGGGGAAGACATCATGCTACAGGCGCCATCCGAGGACACTCTTCGATACCACAGGTTGAGGGCGAGCCTTCCAGCGAAGCTGTGGAAATGGCGCACAGTGAAGGGGCGGCGATGGTCAGGGTCACCTGAACACATCAACGTCCTCGAGTTGAGGGCCGTCCTCACCAGCATCAGATGGCGCATTCTCAAGAGACGTGCTTTTCGGACGAAGATGGTGCATATGATCGACAGTCTTGTGCGCTTGCATTGTTTGGCTCGGGGCCGGAGCAGCAGCCGGAAGATGAGGCGAACCCTGAGTCGAATTGACGCTTTACTCCTAGCTTCGGGGAGTCATGGAGTATGGGCGTATGTCCATACTTCACAAAACCCAGCGGACCGCCCCTCGAGGCGGCCGGTGAAGAAGAAATGGTGAAGAAGTCAGGAACTCATGTGGAAGGTAGGAGTAAAGCAGCAAGGCAAGCACAAAGGAGACGATTGGGACCACTTCGCACCTTAACCGTTCAGAGCAAGACCAGAGCACGCTATGACAAAGCTATGGAGCGCTACCGTACTTTTCTTCGTGAAGAAAGTCGACCTTACCCCCGTGATGCTGCAGGCCAAGACTACGTCCTTTCGCACTACATTGAACATCTTTGGGAGACCGGCGAAGGCCGGGCACTTGCTTGTGATACCGTTGCAGCAGCCCTGGACTTCCATCCTTTTCTGAAGGGTCATTTACCTAGTGCATGGAGACTTTTGAAGACATGGTCCTCCAATGAGCTGCCCAACCGGGCGCCTCCACTTCCTCTAGAAGCTCTTCATGTCCTGGCAGGGTACGCGTTGTTCGTGGGCAACCCTCTTTTTGCTCTTTCACTGCTTCTGGGATTCCATGGACTCCTGCGCACCGGGGAGTTGCTGGGGGTGAAGAAGGCACACGTTGTCCAGTCGGGCCCTCGTAGCCCCGCTGTAATCTCTTTGGGACTCACCAAGGGTGGCAAAAGAGCTGGCGCTGCCGAAAGCGTTACAATTCGAGAGGAGGACACGTTGCGGCGCCTTTGGCAATGGCTTAATACACCCCATACTCCCTCAGCTTTGTGTGGCACACCACACTCCTGGAGGAAAACTTTTAATGAGTGCCTTTTAGCTTGTCAGTTAGATGGCTATGACTTCCGACCCTACAGCCTTAGGCGGGGCGGGGCCACTATGTATTTCGGCCGACACGGCTCGTTAGACCGCCTCCTCATTCAAGGAAGGTGGGCATCTAGCAAAACGGCACGAATTTACATTAATGAAGGATTAGCAGTTCTTGCTGAACTCAAACTGGCTTTTAATGGCACAGCCCAGGCTTACCAGCGGCAATTTCAGAAATCCCTCCGAGTTCCGCTCCAAACTCTTGAGCTTCACCCCAAGGGTGGGCCAGGGGGACGCGGAAAGGGTCAGAAACAGAAGCGCAGAAAGCGCGCCAAGAAGTAGAATTTTTCTCGTTGAATTCAACACCGCCGGCGGAAGGAAGAAAAGAGATCAGAGGATGATCTAAAATAAGGGTGGTGGCCCGGACGTTCCCCGGCTTGGCGGGGCCCGGGACCACCCTGACTCTTGCGGCTCACGCTCACCCCGGCTTGGCGGGGGAGCAGTGGGGGGAGTCAGAGGCAGGGGCCTCTTCTACTGAATTTTTGGTCGAATTTCTTTACTTTATCTGACCACTAAGGTCTTGCATCGCGGTAAAAAGAGAGAAGAACCCAGGGAGTCTTTATGTATGTATGTATGTATGTATGTATGCACGTATATATATAATATATATAGGGTCAAGAAGGTCATCGACAAGCATCAAACTGTCCTTCTGTGTAGGTCAAGCGACTGTTTCCCCCGTTGCGGTGGGCTTTGCGCGCCGCGCGGCCGCGACGATGGTGCGCGTCCCACGAGCGGCGCCCAGCTGAGCCCCCAAGTGTGGTGGGAAGGATTCTTCTCCCCAAGCAGAACTGCAGCACTTCCCCAGCATTGACTCATCATGACTCATCCACTGAAAAGCCAGGCGCGCACCACACTGAAAATGGCCTCCGAGACCAGTCCCCGACCGGACCGACCGCACCACACTGAATTAAGGGTGCGAACCGACCGCACTCACAGTAGACTCCCAAGGATCCTTTTTCGTAACACTGCCTTTGTGACACGAAGTTGCAGGACGTTTGGGTTGTACCTTTGTTGGGCGCATGCGTTTTGCGCTTGTGTTGACAACCGATTGGATTGCGCTCCGCAACCTGGAAGTTGTTGTTCTAAGCCTCCTTTTTGAGAATGGAGACACTTTTGATTGATCTCACCTTTGAAGCATATTCCCTCTTCACCTGTTCAAGCTAATAGGTGTACGTGTATGACATGGAATCCTGTTCAGAGCTTTTTGGGGTCACGTGACAGCAAGTCTGAGTGTCAGGAAGCCACATGAAGTCCTCAAGACTTTGGGCGAGCAGCCGGAATTGCTCTTCGACATGTTCAAGGTGGCTGGCGTCGCTCTGACAGACGAGGGTCGTGAGCGGAGCTCCCTACATTTGGGGACTTCCTACCAGCAAAGGGGTCAATGGAAGCCCCTACACTACACTACTAAGGGACCTCCATTGGACACCGATTGAAGGTTTAGGTATATACATGTATGTTTCAGTCATTCTTATGTTTAATGTAAATGTTTTGTTCACAGGGAGCCCTACGCAATCTGTGGGACAAAACCCAACTTTCAAGCCCCAAAAAAGGCTTCCTATGTTGGATTTGTCAGGGTATTCGTGGTATTATATATACTATGGTTTCCACTTCGATACTGCACGTTTTGCCCTAGAGGTGATGCAGAAAGCTGGAGTGAAGTTGGAAGCTCAGCATTATACAATGGGCATGTCATCATTGGCCAGATCCAAGTTTTGGTCAGATGCCTGTCGGCTTTTAGACCAGATGCCAAAGGCAACAGTTCAACGAAACATTATTAACTTCAACACAGCGATCTCCTCCTGTGAGAAGGGGAATCAATGGCAGCAGGCGATAGACTTGTTTGGCTCGGCTTGTGAAGAGACTCACCCCGATGTGATTACCTACAGTGCCGTCATCAGTGCATGTGAAAAGGCCCTTCGTTGGCAGCAGGCCTTCAGTCTTTTCTTCTCCATGGCGCAGGTCAAAGTCTTGCCTAATGTCATCAGCTACAGTGCAGTGATTAGTTCTTCTGGAAAGGCTGAGCAATGGCAGCTATCGCTCGCCACCTTCGAGGCAATGCTCCATGCAAAGGTTCGGCCAAACGTTGTGGCTTACAACGCAACCATCAGCTCCTGCGAAAAAGCTGGAGCATGGCAGCAGGCATGTCACATCTTGGAAGATATGCCAAAAGCCAAAGTGAAGCGGGACCCTCGGATTAATTGTTGAACATTCTTTTTGAGGGCAAATAAATTCTGAGAAGCCTCAATCGGAAGTCTTGAGAATGGTTGGATGTCTCTCCTGCGAAGCGCCGCGTGAATGACTCCTGGAACAGTCGTAACGACTGCCTTCGCCGACGTCCCTCACATGGGCCCTGGGGCAGATAACCTCCGAAGTCGAAGGGCTGTGTTCAAATCAAATTCAACAGCTATTGGGTCACGTCATATGTCATCATATATCACTATGTGCAAAGTAGACACGATCGAAAAGGAAGAAAGGTTTCTTGTGAGGTTGATGCTTCTTGACTTTCGATTTGAAAAGACTGACCAGTCCATCCACGGTCGACCCCATGTCCCTGAATTCTTCTCCATCTCGTGTCGCAGGATGTGGTGAGTTACAGCGCTGTGGTGAGTGCCTGTGAAAAGGCTCATCACTGGCCGGCCGCTCTTCACGTCTTTGAGTCGATGCCAAGAGCGGCTCGTGTGTCGCCGAACGTCGTCACGTTCAATGCGTTGATGAGCTGCTTGGAGAAGGGCAGCCACTGGCCGCGAGCCATGGAAGTTCTCTTCGAAGCCATGCCAACGCAGATCCAAGCGGATCTTGTCAGCTATAACGTGGTGATTAGTTCCCTGGAGAAGGGTGGACAGTGGCAGAAAGCACTGGAGGTCTTTCAGAAGGTGTCCAAGGCTAAGCTTCAGCCAGACATGATCAGCTTTAATGCAGTGATCAGTTCTTGTGAGAAGGCTGGGCGATGGCAGCAAGCTTTGATTCTGTTTGATGCCATGCCCAATATGCAAGTTCGACCCACCATCATCACCTACAGTGCAACCATCAGCTCTTGTGAGAAGGGCGTGCAATGGCAGCAAGCATTGCACCTCTTTGACCAAATGCCCAGAACAAAAAGTTGACTACCAAAGGGTCATGTTGGGAGTCGCCACCATGTGCAAGCCGCAAGCCATTTGTGCGGTCAACCGTCGGTACTCTGGCCAAAAGAGTCTGTAAAGCACATGCTATCAAAGAACGTGAAAGCAACATTGCCGTGTATGGTGTATGGGACGAATCCAAGAACCCCTCTTGCGAAACCCGTTGGGCCAGGGAGGCCCACACTGCAAGATGGCCAGAGAGGCTCCACACGGTCTCCGCCCAGGAGTATAAGGTCGACGCCCGAGTAGGTTAGGGATGTTGGTTGCGAAGTAGCTTCAGCGCTAGCCACTTGTATTGTAGTTTACCACACAAGAAGACCGCAAGAGAATCTGAAGGAAAACTCGTCCAAATCCACTGGTCAATGGGAAAGAGGAACATCATGCATTTCCAGACTTCTCACAGTTTCCATTTTCCCATATATCCAATGGCTCAAGAAGAATTGAAGCAATTCCACTTGGGAGTCGAGTAAAGTCTGCTGTGAGTGTCCCTGAGTCTGTCCATTCCTATCGCTGAGGATTGGAGGCTCCTGCGCTTTTCATCCGCTGGGTGTTGCACTGAAACGGCCACCGCTGAAGGACGATGCGGATCGCTGAAGGACGCATCGGCCGAACGCAGAGAGCATGAGAGCCGATCAGTGGTCCGGTCACGGGAACCGAACCAGTCTTTCGCGACGATCGTCCTGTGCTTTCGTGGTGAACAGCGAGAAGCAACTGCAACTAGAGTCACTCGGTGTTGCAGCCGAGTTTAATGATCAAGTTTTGATGATATACTATGAGTTTGCTTATGTTTGCTCTGATGCTCAGAACACCCCTAAATCCATTGTTTAGCAGGGAAAGTACATCCCCATTCGACGGGTTCGCCCCTTTGAACACTTGAATCGCAGTCGGATGCAGTGTGGATTAACTTATGTCCACGCAAAAAGGATAATTCATCTGGTCACATCACCCCTGTCCCATGGCAAGGCACATTTGGGTCACACTATTTGATTATTTTTTATGCTGATTGGGTGAATCAATAAAACGTCCCAAAATTGTTTTCTCAAATCGACACATTCAATCTTCGGGTCATATATAAATCGACAAATACACCCCCCGATTTTACTAATTCTTTTTGATAATTTGGAATTATCCACACAGTTTACTGTTAGGGGTTCTCAATTCTTTCTTAAGATGTGTCCGCCCTTTCTGTCACTGCTGGAATTAATCCGCCGTTTTCCGCTGGCCATGCAGCATGTCTATTCATTTGTCTCCCATGTAACTTCTGTACTCTTGTCTCCCAGGTTGGGTGCCTGCACTGCTGGTGTCCACCCTTTTCCGCTGGCCATGCAGCATTTCTATTCATTTGTTTCCCAGGTGATTTCTTTATTTCCCCAAACAGGTTAGTGTTAGGGGTTCTCAATGCTTTCTAAGGGTGTCCGCCTTGCTGCTGGACAGCGTCTTGTTGGTCATTGTGTCCGCCTTGTCTCCCTTCTGTTTCTTTTTGTTTCCCTTCTTGTTTTCCTTCTTGTTGGCCATTGTGTCCGCCTTGTCTCCCTTCTGTCTCCTTCTGTCTCCGGTCTTGTATCCCTTCTTGTTGGTCATTGTGTCCGCCTTGTCGCCCTTCTGTTTCCTTGTGTCTTCATTTTTGTCTCTCTTCTTGTTGGTCATTCCCCTTCTGTCTTCCTGTCTCTCCTGGCTTATCTCCTTTCTTGTTGGTCATTGTGTCCGCTTTGTTTTCCTTCTGTCTCGCTTTTCTCTTTTCTGTGTCCTTTTGTCTCCTTTTTTCCCCACATCTCTGTGTGGGGTTCTAGTTTTTTGGCTGCCATCCCGCCCGACTCCGCCCGCCCGCCCGTCCCTCCCTCCGTCCCTCGCTCCTTCCCGCCGTCCACTCACTCACTCACTCACTCACTCACTCCATCACTCACTCACTCACTCACTCCCTCGCTCACTCACTCACTCACTCACTCACTCACTCACGCACTCACTCACTCACTCACTGCACACTCACACTCCCAGCAGTCTCCAGAGCCTCTAGAAGGGGCTGCGGCGCGCGGAGTCGCCGCTGGGCCCCCCTGCGGTCGTGTGCGCTACTGCCATTGTGATTTGCATAGCAACGGCTCTCTCCAGAGCCTCTAGAAGGGGCTGCGGCGCGCGGAGTCGCCGCTGGGCCCCCCTGCGGTCGTGTGCGCCACTGCCATTGTGATTTGCATAGCAACGGCTCTCTCCAGAGCCTCTAGACGGGGCTGCGGCGCGCGGAGTCGCCGCTGGGCCCCCCTGCGGTCGTGTGCGCTACTGCCATTGTGATTTGCACAGCAACTCTCCAGAGCCTCTAGAAGGGGCTGCGGCGCGCGGAGTCGCCGCTGGGCCCCCCCCTGCCGGTCGTGTGCGCTACTGCCATTGTGATTTGCATAGCAACGGCTCTCTCCAGAGCCTCTAGAAGGGGCCGCTGGCGGTCGTGTGCGCTACTGCCATTGTGATTTGCATAGCAACGGCTCTCTCCAGAGCCTCTAGAAGGGCCTTCCTTCCCTCCGTCCTCCTCGCCCCCTCCTCACTCACTCACTCACTCACTCACTCACCTCACCTCACTCACCTCACTCACTCACTCACTCACTCACCTCACCTCACCTCACCTCACCTCACCTCACC